CTTACTAAGCAACCAGAACAAGAGAAAGTTATGAGCTCCAGATCGGCTAATCAAAAGCCCTGAAGTTCTGGTGATCTCGAATGTAGTTTCTTAACCTACCAATATCCCTGAATTCAGGAAGTTACAGTTTAAATCATATGAGGGATCCTATTATAACTCAAGGTATAGTTCTTAGTTGAGGGATGTTGGAAGATTTGGGTAGTTCCTGAAACAAGCCCAGGCAAAGGCAGGTCAGTGGCAACTGGCCTGGCAGCTATTCGAGAGAATGCCTCAGACAGGTTTGAAGCCGGATGTTGTGAGCTATAATTGTAGCATAAGTGCCTGTGAGAGGGGCGGCCAATGGCAGCTGGCATTGTTTTTGTTCAGCTCCGTCCGAAGATGTGAGTTGTCGGCCGACATCCACACCTTCCGTGCTGCGATCAGCTCATTGGAGAAGGGCGCGCAGTGGCAGAGAGCTTTGGAAGTCTTTGAATCCATTCCGTGCGCTGGCCTAACTGCAAACAGATACACTTACAATGCGACCATCAGTGCTTGTGAGAAAGCCAGCAACTGGCAAGGATCTTTGCACTTTTTTGAAGCCATGCTGGCTTCAAAGGTCACTCCAAATATCATCACCCACAATGCCCTCATCAGCTCCTGTGGGAAAGGTGGACAGTGGCAGTTAGCTACCTTTCTGTTCAGGAACATTCGCAATGCTCAGCTCTCTCCGAACACGATCAGCTACAACTCTGCGATGAGCTCCTGCGAGAAGGGTAGTCACTGGGAATCTTCCTTACATCTCTTTACAGGGATGCCGGGGTCTCAGCTGTCTCCTGACGTAATCAGCTACAGTGCAGCGATCAGCTCTTTTGAAAAGGGCGCGCAGTGGCAGCTGGCTCTTGCATTCTTTCATGCGATGCCTGCTGCACACATCGTGCCGGATCGTGTGAGCTACAACACAACTATCAGCTTCTCGGATGCATGTGGTGCAGTTGGCCTGGGGTCGATTGGGGTTTCAGAATCCCACGGTTCTTTGCAATCTTGGTCATACGTTTCCTCTTTAAGTTCGGGTCCTTGGGTATGCAACAGCTCCCATTTCGGTGCTGTAGTCGTTAGGCTGTCCTTTGCCACTTGGTAGTGTCAGCCAAGCCGAAAGCCTAAACCCTAAACCCTACACCCTACCTGTAACCCAGCAAATTTCGCAGTATCCTCCCAGGCGATTCCGGAGATCGCGCCCTAAAAACACGGGTCTGGTGGGTTGCAGGTAAACCCGTGAACCTTCAGCCCTAAACCCCAAGCCCTCAACCCTAAATCCTATAAGCCTGCAGCCCTAAACCCTCAACCCTAAACCCCATAAACCCCCAGTTCCAAACCCTACTTCATCAGCGCTAAGGCTCTTTAGAGAAGAGTGGTCAATGGCAACTATCTCTGCAACTATTCCAGACCATGCTGCTTGGTTGTTCCTTTGTTGGTTTCTGGAACCCTGTTAGAATACTACTGACGAAAAAAACTGTCCTATGCCCTAAACCCTAAACCCTAAACCCTAAACCCTAAACCTATACGACTTCCACCATGAAGTTTGTAAAGCTTAGGATCTAGGGTTTCTGGGCTCCTATGCTAAGATAAACAATTGACCCCCCAAATGGGTTGGTCAGTGGCACAATAAGGGTTCTACGCTTAGGTTTCGGGGTGTGTGGACTCTTTTGCGTTTTGGTTTCTGGGCTCCTTTTTTTTTTGGATATCACTGACTCCAAAAATGGTGGGTTATTGAACAGCCTAGGCCCGTGGCGAAGCTCGCTCCGGACGTCGTCAGCTGCAACGCCACCATCAGCTCATGCGAAACATGGGTGGTCTAAGAGTACCTACAGGGTCATACCCTACCCCTGTTTTAAGGTACCTAGTCTTATGGTTAGGAACTGCTATATAAAAAAGTAGGTACCCTAAAAAGGGGCAGGGTATGACCCTATAGGTATAGCCTGTGACAGAAGCGGTTCATATTTTATTGTAGTCAGAAACCTTGGGTGGTTTAACGGGAGCTTATGACCCTGAGGGTTCTGATTATCATTACATCTTTTGAAACAGAGACCTTGCTGATTTAGGGTACTGTTGCGCCTTGGGGGTAGCCTATAGCCTGTGTAGGTTTGACGGTCTCGCGGCTGCCTCAACTTCTTTCAGGGTGTATTGGCCGAACTGTCGCTTCGTACAGCTGCACATCTGCGGCAACCCTAAACCCTAAACCC